TTGTTGGGATCAGGGGAATTTCTGAGGGCATTGACTGAAAATCAATTCTAGTCAAACATAAGACTTTGAGCACATCTGTTCCAGTGAACAAATCAGTTGGAACTGCCAGAGAACAACCCTTGTTAGACAAATGAAAGAAAGTGAGCCGCGGACAGTTCAACTCATTGCTTGTGAGCTCAGGATAGCCATTTGACAAATAAATCCACTTCAAATTTTCCATTGTCTCCTTTTCTGGCCAGTCTTTTCCTCCATCTTCACCTACTAAAGCCAATACATTGTGGTCCCTAGAAGCAATTGACAGGGCAACCTCCCGAATCTGATCGTGCATACCAAAATGCATATTACTGTGACCATCAACCAACAAAGAAGACAGTTTGAGACGGTGAACCAATGTCAGTACTTTGGTTCGTGTCTCCTCCACTGTTTTCGCCTTTGGAAATAAAGTCAAGCCCATACCATATTTTAACAAGTCATTGATGGAAGAGTCATGGCCCAGCAAGCTACAAAGCATGAACGTTTGCTTGAGTTCATCTTCTTGTAAGTACTTGTAGGACAACTCTATAGGCTTATAAACAGCTGCAGATATCCCTTCTGGAGTAGGCGTTTTCAATTCCATAAGAGCATCTTCCCACTCAAATTGTTGAGTCTTCCCTCTCATGGCCTTTCCAACAGTTACGATGGCAACGGGCAACCCGAGACATTTCTCAACAATCTCCTTGGATGTCGGTTGAAAATTAGAGCTTTCAACTTTGCTGCCAACAATCTTCTTGAATAGATGCCTTGCTTCTTCATCTTCTAATTCATGTACCTTAAAGACCGGATCTTTTTCTTCCATCATACCAGAGAGAACATTCGGATCTCTTGAGGTTAGTAGAACCTTGCGGAGCACATCTTGTTGTCCAGATGAGCTTTCTTCATTCTTTTTCTCCATAGGCTGCTTCAGCTCACTTGCAGAAGGTATTCCAACTTTCTCCAAATCTATTCCAGCCTCCCAAACATCATCCAAAATTACAAGAAATTTCTTCGCTTCTTTGAGCTTTGCCTTTATTCGATCTGCAACTTGTGGTGGTGGAAGTTCGGTAGGAAGCAGATCCATACCCAAGTCGCGTGCGATGTCACTTTGAATACTTTTCAAGTCCGGGTTCTTTGTCACTTTAGTCATAACTACCGCAGTAAACAAGCTGTCTTGCTTGGCTTTTCCTTTAACCATTTTTACAAGCATCGTCTTCCCAACGCCAGAAGTCCCATGCACTCCGATCGTGTTGACGATTGGATTTCTTGCTGCCTTCATGATCTGCTCCAAAACAGCCATTCTAGAGGGAAACTCCTCAAAACCTTCGACAACTTCAGCCACTTCCTGTTGTGGAGGAGGAGCGTGGGAAGGTGGAAGGTCGAATCTATGACCCTCCTGCACATGTTTTGCAATATCCCCCGTAATCTGCGCTGCTTTCTTGCTGAGCTTGTAACGAGGCAGGGGATTGGGACACAGCCGAAAGAAACACTCATTCTTGGCAAATTCATCACCAACTCGTATAGATTCCCCTGCAGGTTCGATGAACTTTTCCGCTTCTGTCAGCCAAGCCTGGACCTCCGCACCAATTTCTTCCCCTCTTCTGCCAACATCATATCTATAGCGCTCCACACTCCTATTTTTATTCTTTAGCGCCTCAACTTGTTTCTTCAGATTCTGAACATTTTCGTTGCACTTGCGCACAACACTGATTGGATTTAAAATAAAATTCAAAATCCGATCAACTAAGTTCTCAACAACTTTCTCAGCAGCAGCAGTAGCAATTGGCTCGGCCATCTTCTTTTTGTTTGGAGGAGGTTTTATGAAATATTCAGATGAGAAAAGAAAGTGCTTCAATTGAGGATAAATTAAGAATTTGGTTGAGAGGACGGGACCAGCGAAAGTGTGTTTTTTTTTTTTTTTTCCTTTTTTGGGTTTGTGGTTTTGAGAAATATAGAGGTGCCAAACAAAACCTGAGAGACAAAAAACAGAAGAAGTTAAGTGGTGAATTATTGAGGCAATAAGTTAAGTAGTGGTGGGGCATGCTTGTTTACAAAAGCTGTACCAACATAAATTAAAAAATGTTGATTGGATGAGACGTGCATCTTTTCTTCTGAGGATGGAAAAAGATATTAAATATTTCTTGACATTGGCATCTAATTATAGTAGATTATAGGTTATATCCCCGATTCAGTCCCTGAACTTTCATTTTTGGACTAAAAATACCCT